GTTAATTAATAGTGTTTTTAGTGATGACGAAGAAAACATTGTTTAATTTATATTAATATGTATCACTTAAAAATTTTAATGAAGATATTTATCTTAATTATGAAAATATACTAGCATGTTTTTTAATTTTTGGAACCTAACCCTCCTTTTCGTATTAGTTCTTTGTTTCGTATAACACGGATTCGCATAACACGGCAATTTTTTGGAACGTAACTACCGTGTTATACGGGGGTTACCTGTACTCATCAGCAATTCAACTGACTTCACAATTTTGTTAAAAAACTCATCCATCTTGGTTTGTTTCAATGCTGCTTTTCTGCTTATTGAATATAACAGCTGCCTGATATTACCAATGTCATGTACAGCCTGTTCATTTATGCTGAAACACATCACAAAGTTGAAAGGACTCAATGGCCTCACTAAATTTTGGCACTACACTTGGACCATGATCAAGACTGGGCTCTTCCCTCCTCAATTGTATCAGCCCACTGACTCTCTTCATATAATTCTTCAATTGTACAGTACAAATCCCATATGTAACAATTGCATCATTGAGCTCTACAAATTCTCAGAAACACTAAATATTAACTAAATATTGAAAAAAAAACAAAAAACAAAATGCAAAGTTTACAATAGATGGGGCTAGAAAAGAAAATCTGTTATTCCAAGTTACAGATCTGCTGAAAGGAAGTAAATTACATTGAATTGGCAGAATCTGGGAAAAAATCAATTATTTTGAGAAATCTATTGTTCCAGGATCCATTAAAACAAGGTTCTACTGTATTATTGCTAATTTGAATTCAATCTGTCTGCTCAATATACTGAATATATGTTTATCTATATAGAGAAGTATTGCTGTATTCTTCTGATAAAGTACAGTCTATTGGTCATTTTCAACATTTTTAAGAAATATTACCACAAGTCTAAAAAGAGTGAAACCAATAAATGTTTTTGTCTCAAAAATCAAATATTATGGTACTCTAAGCATCAAATAAGTAGTTTAAACTGCAAAATTAAATAATTAACAATATGTGACAATTTTATATTTCATTTTAATATTTGTTAATAAATAATGTTAATGTTTCACCAAATGGCTTGGCAAGAATATTGCCATCTATAAAAAGATTAGATCATTTGATGAATAGGGTCATTCAAATATGACATATACACTAGGGAGGAAAATGTGTAATATATTTATTATAATTTTATAAGAATATATAATTTTGTGACAAGGAGTGGGATATTAGTAGAATGATGATGTCCTAAAAAAGCTCAAAAATTTTCCTATTTAAAATAATTTTTTACCAAAATCATTATGCAAAAATATTGTGATCAATGATCACACAATTTAATTAAATAGTTGAACTTTAGTAGAAGAGCTCTATTAAATATGCTTTGTTGGAAGCACTCTTTTAGAACTTTTAAAATATGAAAGGACAATCAAAATAATTTAATCTTTACAATTACAGATAAGTTTAGGCTTATCTGTAATTGTACAGATACCACTGAAAGGTATACAGATATATAACAAATTAATTTTAATCTACAATTACTCAGTACAATGTCATCAGACTCTTCTTCTGTGGTAAATCAGTGAATTTCATTTTTTTCTTCTATTGACCTATTTTTAAAATAAGCTTCATTTTTATAGGAAATATGAATAAATTAATATACTATAGACCTGTTTTACAGAAATACTTATTTTAATATCAGGAGAGTTGCAGATAATATGTGATATCAGTATGGGGGTGTCTAAAGTTTGGTAATAAAATGTGAGGGAGAGAGGTTAAGTCATCAAAAAGGTCTTAAAATTAATGACATCATATTTGACTGACTCCAATTCACTTTTTTATGCTGTCTAACAATAACAGTCTGTATATAAACAGCATGCTTGCCTTATATAAAAAAGCATATCTTTTTTAATAAATAGCCTGTAACATATACAAAGAAAACAAAAGTTGTTTTAAAAAAAACTGCTTTAAACTTGAAACTGAAGTTCTGAGATAAAAGTTTTGAGACTTGGTTTGGGGGATAAACAATCATAATAATTCAATAGTGCTTAATTAAATTTTTGATTGTTTATTTTCTTTTAATTTTAATCTCATTCTTTTAAAATATATTTGAATTGGAAGTATTTTATTAGAAATATTTAAATTATAAATACAGATATACCATTGATTTTTCTGG